TTTAATTAATTCAATATCAATAACTTTATTTCATTTCATTCACACATACATATATATATAGCGATCCTAAAGCAGAGGAAATCAATCAAGACAGTTAATATTAACAGCAGCAAAACAAATGTCAGCAAATGTGTTTATTAACTTGCAGTAACACATGTGCATATACTTATATTTATTAAATAAGTTGCCCCCCCCCACATCACAGGCACACTTTCTCCAAAATTGTCCAAATCACATTGAGAAAATGATGAAAAGAGAAACATTTATCAATAATGTTCACACAGGGATGCAAATTTAGAAGATTGACACATTTTACACAGCAGAATATATACATATTCACATAGAAATCATTTACATGGATGTTTTATGTCAATTTAAATAAATAAAATAAAAAGATGACAGTCACAACTGTCATCTCTGTGACAGCAACAATAACACATCAGAAGGATCTACTGGTTGTCTTATTAGTGAAGGCTTTGTACAGGATGAGAGCTAATGTAACTGTAACCTTAAGTACAGGATGGTCAAATGGAGATATTACAAATGGACTAATGTCTTAATTCAAAGCTACGGTTGCTGAATGTTTGTCCATCGTTCTCCCCTCAGCTCCTGGCTCTCTGTAACAAAACAAGATACTCAAAAATACTCAAATTCAGTGTATTCGTGTAGTTAATCTCAACGTTTGAAACGTTACCGGATTTAAAGTGATATTTCAGGTTCACAACCTGTCTACCTGAGCTCACGTTGGTCCGTTTATGTACATGATATAAAGTACAAATCATCTGTAAAATCATCACAAACTCAGTAAGATATTATTCAACCTCTGAGGTTTGAAAGTGAAGTTATTAAAAGTTACTTTACAAGGCTAACTACGGTCAGATGCAGGCAGCCGAGCTGCCGGTAATAGCGCACCGGCAAGCAATGCATCTTGGGATATGGTGGGCCGCGAAGGATACATCAGATGTGTCCTCCAAATCTGGGACCAGAAGGCTGCATTCGTCAGCTGCATTGAAGGACTCTTCAACAAAAATGCGAAATGGGACAGCACTAGTCGCAGCGCTGTGACGCAACCGGTCTACGAATGCAGCCTCCGAAGGATGCAGACCCTGAATTGAGACACAGCTTTTGGCTGGCACGCCTCTCCTCCCTGCCTCGTGTTTGGAGGACCTGGCAGCGGCTTTGTTTTGATTGTTTCTTTAGTTTAGTTCAGTTATTGGTTCCTTAAATAAATGTATATTTATTACTTTTAACTCGTCTTGTCTCCCTCATGTTACGGCCTTTTGAGCCGGGTCGTGACAAAAGAAAAAGTTGAAACAACCAAGAGCAATATATTTATTGATTGACCAGATCATGAATAATAATAATCAGAATCAGAATCAGAATCAGAACCGTTTAATGCCATGGTATGTTGAACATACAAGGAATTTGGCGTGACGGGAGGTGCAAACATTTAACAATCAACAAAAATCAGTGCAAGTAGAAACATTAAAATTTACAAGAGATATAAAATAAAGTAAGATATAAAATAAAGTGCACAAACGAACAGATAACAGGACTATAAACAACGAACAGATGACAGGACTATAAACAAGTGAGATGTAAGTGTAGTGTAAAAGTGTCGAGTGTAATAGAAGGGATGCAGGGGAGTGACCGGTGGGAATATGTCCTGGGGATGACAGAGTCAGTGGGGGTCCCGGGCTCTGTTAATGAGCCCGACTGCGCATGGAAAGAAGCTGTTTTTGTGGCGTGAGGTCTTGGTCCTGATGGACCTCAGCCTCCTGCCAGATGGGAGGGGCACGAACAGTTTTTGTCCAGGGTGAGAGGGGTCGGCTACAATCTTTCTTGCTCGCTTCAGGGTCCTTGAAGCGAACAAGTCCTGGAGGGATGGCAGATTGCAGCCAATCACCCTCTCGGCAGAGCGAATGATGCGCTGCAGCCTCCCCTTGTCCTTGGCAGCGGCTGCAGCGTACCAGACCGTGATGGAGGAGCAGAGGATGGATTCAATGATGGCTGTGTAGAAATGCACCATCATTGTCTTTGGCAGGTTGAATTTCTTCAGCTGCCTCAGGAAGTACATCTTCTGCTGAGCCTTCTTTGTGATGGAGCTGATGTTCAGCTAATAATAACAATAATACTTTAGTTTTATATAGCGCTTTTCTAAGTACCCAAAGACACTTTACATGGTGCATAAACAAACAGAACAGACAAACAAAACAAAAAAAAGAAGAAAAAAAAGAAAGACAGAGGACCAAACAAACAGAACATTTTGGTAAAAAAGCAAACTGGAGAAGCTGTGCGGAATGAGTCATGTAGTGGAGGGTAAGGTGCCGGGGTTAGCAGGTGAACACGAGTTTGAAGAGGTGGGTTTTGAGGGCTTGTTTGAATGATGATAGGGAGGGAGCCTCACGGATGTGGATGGGGAGGTGCAGCAGCTGAGAAGGCCCTGTCACCCCAGGTCCGGTGTTTGGTCCTGATGGTCTTCAGAATGTTTACCCTGGCGGACCTGAGGCAATGGGTTGGGGCGTGGAGGGGGAGGAGATCTGAAAGGTAGGGAGGGGCCAGGTTGTTTAGGGCTTTGTACGTGGTGAGTAGTATTTTAAAGTCTATTCTGTATTTGACCGGGAGCCAGTGGAGGTTGCGAAGGACCGGGGTGATGTGATCATAGCGGCGGGTGGAAGTGAGCAGTCGAGCGGCAGAGTTCTGAACATATTGGAGTTTATTGAGGATTTTGTTGGGAGAACCATAGAGGATGCTGTTGCAGTAGTCGAGTCTGGAGGTTATGAGGGCATGGATGAGAATTTCGGTGGTGGCAGAGGACAGGGAGGGTCGGAGGCATGCAATGTTCCTGAGGTGAAAGAAGGCAGTCTTGGTGATGTGGTTGGCGTGGGGTAGGAAAGAGAGGGTGGGGTCAAGGATGATACCGAGGTTGTGGACCTTACAACAGCAGGGCGACTGTGGCTAAGTGGATAGCAGGGCCATCTTTCAATCAGAGGGTTGGCGGTTCAATCCCCGGCTCCGACTCTGCTAGTCGCATGTCGATGTGTCCTTGAGCAAGACACTTAACCCCAAAATTGCTCCCGTAGTTGTGCCTACGGTGTAGAAATGTGATAGAATCTGAATTGTAGTCGCTTTCGATAAAAGCGTCTGCTAAATGACTGTAATGTAATGGGTGGCGGGGGTGACAATTGAGCCATCAAAGTTGAGAGAGAAAGGCTGAGCGGGTGAGGGAGTTAGGGCTGATGATGAGTATTGCAGTTTGAGAAAGTTCTGTTGCATCCATGATTTTATATCAGCGATACAGGTGGTGAGAGTAGAGTGGGTGACTGAGGTGATGGTCTTGGAGGAGAAGTAGAGTTGGGTGTTGTCAGCGTAGCAGAAATCGAGACCATGGCGACAGATGATTTGTCCATGGGGAAGGATGTAAATGATGAAGAGGAGGGGACCAAGCACGGAACCTTGGGGGACACCGTGGGTGACTGGGGAGGTAAAGGATTTACAGTTGTTTATTGCAATGAATTGATGTCGGTCTGAGAGATATGAGGTGAACCAGGAGAGGGCAGTGCCAGTTATTCCAAAGGAGTACTGGAAACGTGAGAGGATGGAGTGGTTGATAGTGTCGAAGGCGGCGCTGAGGTCAAGGAGGATGAGGATGGTGAGGAAGCCAGAGTCAGCAGAGAGAAGTATGTCATTTGTGATTTTCAGTAGGGTGGTTTCTCTGCTGTGTTTTGAAAGTGTACAGTTTAATACCATCATTTAGTCTAAATTCAGCATAAAGGTCAAAACTCTTGACTGGCATGATAATTGGGATATGCCATATCAGACACGGAAATTTAACAACATTATAAATTACCTTTTACAATCAATTTGCATATATGTTTGGAGAAGGTGACGTCGATTGAGGACATACGGTGTGACATGGATGAGAACTTGTGGCCAAATGCGGAAGACAGGATTAACTAACACTGTGTTTTCATATCTGTAGCTTTCCTATGAAATTAAGTATTGTAAATATGTATGATTGTCCAGTGCATTACTGGAATTACTAATGAAAATTAATATATAAGTGCCTGTTATTTTTGTTGTCAGGGAATATGGGTTTATGCTTAATAAATAAAACACAAGAGAAGATAAACCTTTATCTAGCCGGGTGAAATTCGGTTCTTCCAGCCAGCAGAACAAGGACACACTAATACAGATAAATACAGAAAATAAAAAATAATAAGAAATTTATAAAAACTAAAGTAAGAATAGAATATAAATTAGAAGTCAATCAAAATAGCAGTAAATTAAGTGCTTTGGTTGCATTAGTGCATTTTCAATGTTAAATGAACTGTTGTGCTGAACTGGATGTTAGTAAAGTGAGATATGTGAACACTTTTGAAAAAAGGGAACTGTGAAATGTTTGTCACCAATTGAAAAAACAACAACAACAGAAAACTGAATAACGTGTATACCAGCGTGCCCTGGAGTGGTTTTAATGTCTCTGCTCTAAGATGTACTTTTCGCCTTGTACCACGAGAGGTCATCCTACTAAATCCATTTGTAGAGAACAGCACACTTTATGTGTGGCACACCTGATCTAATTTACCGGATTTTCAACAGAAAATCACTAGTAGTTGGGCTATCCTCGCTGTCCTTCAGTGACTATGTGTACCACGTGTTGCTGAGAGGCACATGTTTTGTAAAAACGTTGTAACTACATTATTTTACGATTTTAACTTGGAATAAACATACCCATCGTGGAACTTAAATTTACACTACAACAAAACATTTCAATTGCAACAGAAAAAAATCTGCAAGTTTATAAAATCCGACGTTTTCCATTCAGTTGTAAACTTGTCTCTTATGACGTAAAGTATCAAAACGCCGTCATTTCTTGTTCACTAAAGGAAGCGAAGTCAAAGTGGCGTGTTCCTTTTCAATGTGCGCAACAAGTTGTGGCCAAACTGGAGTTTTCTTTTGAAAAATGATCACCGGATATACGGGGTTTCCTCTTTTGTCGAGCTTGACATCGGGGACTGTTTCTCAGCATGGACCCAGTATATTCCCAACCAGCTCCCGAACTGAAAAGGGATTTGTACGTGAAAGAAAATGGCATTGTTCAATAGTGTCGTCTGCGCTTTTTAATCAGAGAAAGGAGACATTTACGCCAAAGAGTTCCCGAAAGTTATCCAAGCACAGTTGGCGTAAAACACAAAAGACGGGGAGCGATCTCAGTCTGAAGTCAACACTGCAACAAGGTAAGAAGATAGCTTTGCCAAAAGCTACGGCAATCAATCCCACCGCTGTTAGTGCTTGGATTTCAACTTTGTATCCGCTTCGTGGGAAGTTTCTCCTGCGTTACAAGTACAAAAATGCAGCTCGTTTTTCTTACTTTTTCCTTCCTTCAGTTTTGTGGTTTTGTGCAACTTCTTGCAGCTACGTGTTGCAACGCTGCAGCCGCGAACAACGAGCCTCTGAGGTTTCTTTTACTCTTCTGTCGGAGTAACTCAACGTCAGTTTGATGGTGTCGACGTGAGGTATCCTAATGAAGAGGGCTTTTCTGTCTGTTCTAGATAATATGCACATTATGATTGCCCACAGGAGTGTGTGTGTGTGTGTGTGTGTGTGTGTGTGTGTGTGTTGCCTACAGCTGTGATTTTAGCTACTTAAGCTAACATACATAGCTATATACTCTACTACTCCATGACGTCTTCAAAATAGGTTTCCTAGGTAGGTGAGAGGTGTTTTTTTTAAATATATTTTGTAATTTAAAAAAATATATATACTATAAACTTCTTCTTCATATGTAGAGAATAAAATAACTCTGCCACTGTTGTGCTAATTTTGATGGTACTTTTATTATAATTTTTTTTACTTTAGTTGACTTTGTTAGATATGCTGAAGATGTTGATGATGATGTTGCACTTAATGTTTTTCAGCATCCCCATTGGCCACCATTTTCTTTTTTTTTTTAAGAAAACCTGTAATTATTTCAACAGATTGTGATCACTCCAGTAGAAGTTAAACAGGGCTGATCATCTGTCCATTAAAACAACCCAGAAACAAATCAGATTTACTACAAAATCCAATACAGAACGACTTGAGTGGATCAGCACTGTATGATTATTTTTAGGCACTGCACACTGAGTGCAGAATGTTGCATGAGAACGTCATCGTGTGTGTTGTTGAAGCCGGTTATTTCTGACTCACCTTATATTTGTGGGACTGTTCAGGGCGGACAGCCTCAGAGGGGACTGAACTTGCTGGCGGCGGTTCCACACTACCCATTTCGGTGTGTTACTTGTGATATCAAGTTGAATACGTAAGTCATAGTTACTGGTTACTTTGAGTTATCGCAAACCCAAAACTGGTTTCTTTAGATAATATAGCATTTGGGTGACTCGGGACACTGAATATGGCGAAGAATAGGTTTAATCAGTGGTGGGCCGTCAGGGCCTGCAAGGCCTTCTCTGCTGGCCTAAACAGAATCACAAAGTTATAGCTATTTTATAATCTAATCATTTTTCTTAAATACACTACACTACATGTATTATAATTTATAAAATATTTTTCCCATTATCTTATTTTCTCATTGCACAGCTACTGTCTTCCTCAGTTACTCTGCTTCCAGTGCAGCTTGTTTTAAGTAGAGCTTTTATCCAATCAGATTTCACCTCTGTGTCTCTAGGTAAGAAGAGAGGCCCGAGGCCTGCAGACTCACAAGTGAATCCCTTTGCAGTTTAAGTGAATGGGGATGATATTGTTGATTGTCATAGTGTTCAACCAATCAGATCTTTAGTTTGACATGTTGGCCGTATTCTTTGGGGTGCCAGAGCCTGCTAGCTGGCCTAGCCATATGTGATTGGTCAGTGGGCTAGCGTGACATGTTGGGCGGGGACAATCCCAATATCTGCTGCCTCTGCCGAGCGGACATTTTCAGCCCTCAAACGCATTAAAACGTATTCAAGAAATACAACTGGGGACGCTTGACTGTCTTCACTGGCATCCATGAATCGAGAAGGACTATTTACTGCAACTAAAACGCACGGATGTACTGAGCAATCGTGGGATTAAACTCTTTATTAACAAAGAAAGAAGGATGGACTTTGTCTTTAACTAGTGAACAGCAGCTCTGGTAAGTTAAATGCATTTGTTTTTACATCTGGAGTAGCTTTAATATTCTTGTTTGTATATTATTATTTGTACAACTTGTTTTTATGAAGATGGATTTTTGTTTGGTTTTATATGTGATAGGAACCATTGTTGCGTCCTATGTTGCTCTGGGGACATATTTAGCCGGTGCCAGTGTTGCCAACTTGTCGACTTTCTCGCAAAATCTGGCGACTTTCCAAACCCTTCATGGTGACTTTTTTTGTCAAAAGCTACTAGCGACAAATCTAGCGACTTTTTCTGGTGTTATTGGAGATTTTGCTGGTGTTTTGACTCTGACGTTAAAGCACGTACGTTCTGCACTGTCGTGAATGAGCAGCAGGTGCTGCCGTGAGCCCCTCTGCCGCCCAAAAGCACTCGCAGGCAGGTACTCTCACAGAAGCCTCACGCAGCAGTCCCACCTGCAGTCAGAGCAGAGAGGAGACGCAGTCTCTGCATATTCTCTGCAGTTAGTGTATTTACAGGTGTTGGCTTCATTTTTACACGAAACAAATAATAACCGTAGCTGTGTTTCAGCTGCAGGACAGCAGTGAAGGCCCAGGTATAAAATGGTTTTATGGATCAGTCCCTTTTTAACATCTGGGAAGTTTTTTGGTTGTTAAGATTTGTAATCCAATAAACATTAGGGAGAGAGCCAGAATAGATGATTTGAAATGACTATAGTAAAACAAGTTAACCTGCAAAATAGTTTTTGCAAGTTACCCCAAGTAACCCGTCTTTTGCTATGAAGTCAGTAAGCCATATGTTTAATGTGTCTGTCACAATAACGACTTTTTTGGACGGTATATTGTCCCAAATATTTATTGCGATAAACAATATAATTGTTATTTTAAGATAATTTAATACCACTGATATAATGATAATATAATAGCAAAATAATGCAAGTACGCCCTTCTAAAAGAGCATTGAACTTTAAATTCTTAAGAACATCCAGACAATTGAATTGGAAAATATCAAATATCCACATCCAAAGTAAAACCACACAACCAAAAGCGTAAATAAATATGGACTCTCGGGCTCTGCTCACAAACAATGTGCAATGTCTGACATTTGTCTGTAAACAAACATGTATGTAAACACAATGGGCAATATCAAGGTCAGCAAAAAATGATCAAAGTCATGGCCATATATTGTAAAATTAGTCGATGTAAAAATTATTGTCATGTCCATATATTGTACAATAAGTTAATAATGTAAAAACTACAGAGGTTGTTTCCATATAACATACAATAAGACTAACGTAAAAATAACCGAGGTTCTGTCCATATAACGTACGATAAGTCAATACATCAAAATTTGTCGTGTCCATCTATTGAAAAAAATGTAAATGACGTAACAGTGATCGAGGCCGAGTCTATCGTACGATAAGTCGACAACGTTAAAATTACCAAGGTAGTGTTCATCTGTCATATAAGTCAATAACGTAAAAATTATGGAGGTTTTGGGCATATATACTTATCGACTTATCATGCGATAAGTCGTTAACGTAAAAATTGCTTATGTCCATATATTTAACATAAAGTCAACGTAACAATTCATACATCGTACGATAAGTCTAACAATTATCCTGATGGGCCTATGCTTCAATAAAAATAAAAAAAATGGTGCATGATTACGCAAGGAAAACAGATCAGAACAAAGTGACATCCTAGTGGGGTACATTCATGCAAAAACAAGGATGGAAAGGTTCTGGGACAGAAAGTCACAACAGCTGAACTGAAACGGTAGCACATGCAGATGAGGTAACACGAAGAATAAAAAGTAGTTGGCTGAACAAGTTCATTTCCTTTTAACATGCCTCCACATCTTTATTTAGAAAAATTGTTCAAGAGATATTGGCACGAGATGGAAACAAAGCAGTAAATCCAGAAAAGGAAACAGAGGTGCTCTTTGACAAGGTGACACAAGGCAGATATGTTTCCTCCTGGTGACGTAGAGGGAGGCTGTAAATCTGTTAGTTCTCTCTCCAGCTGCTTCCTTTTCTATCTCCTTGTACAGTGTAGCTGCTTGGTCAGCATGGTCACAATTCCATTCATACCAGCTTTTCCTGTTCCAACGGCGAATGGGAAGGAAGGGAATGAAGATTGTTTCTTTTCGTACAGGACTGTCGGCACACCAGCCAGACATGTCCTCCAGACAGACAGACAAAAATAGATTAAAGTGTTTTTTATTTAGATAAGTTCTTTTATGGGTGTTTGTGCTTACACAGCATTTGATACTTGACAACTTTGGCTCCCTTTCTTTCTCGAAAAACATGTTGATGTTTTTTAAAGTAAGAAAAATGTAGGGATGCGCTGATCTGATATGCCCGGATCAATACCAATCCTCATTAAATTCAGCTTCTTTGCTCAATGGCATTATACAATATACTGTTTCCACTATCAGCTACGTTCACATTCAGTCATGCTGGGCCACCAAGGACATCTGTAGAAAAAAAAAAAGAAGTATTGTTTTGGTTGCGTTGGTACCAATACTATAATTATAGTATCAGCAAAGCCCCAACAGTCGATCAGTGGAGATGGCGTTAAAGTGGTTGGCAGCAATCTGCGTGACGTCCCCAGCGTGTTGGTGCACGGGTAGCAGAACACGGCGCGAACAACGGAGCGCCACAAGCGCTCGTACACTCCACAGATGACCTTCAAACTACATGCCCTCTAGTTGACTGTGTGCCACGCAGGGTTTCCTTTCAGACCACAGACCAGTTCTAGGTGATCTCCCACATGAGTTGAAATCACCTGTTTGCGCGTGCGGTTTACAGTTTTCAGCTGTTTGCTTTATACATTGAAAGTCAACAGAAGGGACTACAAGTTTTTTCCTTATCTTCTGTGTTGTTCAACCTTACCTCTGTTGACTCAGAGCATGCTGAGTTTCTCAACTTGATGGATTTTCTGACTGTTTCAGACCAAGTGTGGAAATCTGGGAATGCGAAAAATGGGCAGACCGACTGCATGTTGAGGGAGGGAAACGAGCACTGTGGTGAGGACAGAAGACATGTAATTTACGGAATCCTGACGACAATAATGCAGGGACCACCAGGTGTTCCTCTTTTTTCTTTTCTTTTTTTTTGGAGGAGGGACAAAACACTGCG